TTTCAATTTCATGTAATTTTTTTTTAATATAAGTTGATGTATTTAATGCTCCATAATTTTCCATCATAACGTGATGGTAAAATTACTCAAAAAAATTATAACAAGTATTCTTTAGATTGATTCTGATGTTTTTTATTTTAAATTGCAATGGAGGTTAAACTATTAATTAATTCTAATATTTCATATAAGCAATAGATAGGTGTTATCTATTAACATGATGATAAACCAAGTTAAAAACAGAATATGAATTTAGGGTTTTTAAGTGTATTAGCAACATAAGTACATTTTTATAGTGTTCAATTTGGGAATTAAGATGATTAAGGCGACACCTTTTTGAATTATATTATTCCATTATGCTCATTTAATGATTTTTATTTCATATTATATATTTGTCTTTCTTCTGAAATTGATATACATTGAATAAATAGATCAAATAACAACATAGATTTGTGAAAGAGGGCTCTTAGATAACACAAATGTTTAGATTTGTGTATCATACAAAATATTAATTTTGATAGTTTTAAATTTAAGATTAGATTCATAAACGACAAATTTGAATGTGTCCTCAAGAAAATAAATTTAGAATTTATATATTCATGTATAATAAATATTAAAATATTAAAAAATATTTTAATATTAAAAAAAATATAAATATTTCATAATTAAAATAATTAGTAAAATTATTGTGAGAGTAAAGGGTGACTATTTAAAATTTTTCCAAATGACACTCAATTAAAAAATTATTTCTATCCCTAATTTTTGTAAAATAAATCATTGTATTAATTATTTTTAAGTATAAGGAAAATATAACATTAACTAAGAAGACAACATTAATCATAATTTGATAATGAAGTGAAGAAATATAAAAATAAATGCTTCATTACATCTATTATAATTTATTTAAAAATTATATTAATTATAAAAATACAATTTTATGTATTGAGTTATTTGTTGTATAACTTATTAAACTGTTAACTAATAAAGAAATTAAAATAAAATTTAAGATAGACAAACCAAATATCAGCTCGTTGATTTTATTTTAATATGTTTTTTTTTATGAATATATGAATGCAACTTCCATTTTTCTTAAAAATTTACTTGTAGGTTGTTATTATGATATCTATTCCATTGAATCTTAATATATTAATTAATGATAAATAAAATGTGTGTGTAATGTTACACAGGTTTACCTATTTGTGTACTATAAAAGTCACTTTTGTGAAAATCAGGTGAATTAAAATTTATAGTTCTTTGATTAAAAAAATATATTATTGTGAAATTATATAAAGGTAAACTATAAAATGTCCTTTTAAGAATTGTAAACCAATCACATATACTTGACATTATAAACTATATTGTTAACTAATTATAATTCATTTACATCAGTATTGGTCAACTATCATATTTCTTAAAAATAAAAAATCTAGAAACAAAAAAATCATATATGAAATGTTAGAACTCCCTCTGCTGTGTTTGAATAGAAAAATTAAAAATACTTTGCATAAGTTTTGACATCAACAATGCGTGAGTTTTCATCAATCATGCAATTTTTATTTGTTCTTGTAATACATGAACTCAACAATGCAATTTTTATTTTTGATTTGTGGTTTTTTTTTCCTTATGCTCGTTGGTGAATTTGTAGTGTATATTTAATACATTTTTAGTTATATTTTGTTCCTGTGTTTGTTTGCTTCTCACTATTAACATATTTATTTGTCATTAAAAATAATAATAATAATAATAAGTGATAAATTCAAATATTTAATCGGTTTTAATTAAAGAGAAAGTTTTCTTTTCCAATACTTTAAGCAAACAATCTTGTATTGGTATATTTGTGAAGGGCGCCATGGGAGAAAAAGGATGTAATATATTACCCACAACAACTTCTTGATCACCCGTTTTCCAGATTGATTATATGTTTACTAAATGTGACACCATTACCTCAAATATGTCAGCAGGATTTACATGGTTCAATTCCCACCTCCTTCAATTTCGCATTTAATTGTCACAAAATGGGATCTTCTTTGTATATCATAACGATTCTTTTAGTCAATTAAGGTGTAATGTTCCATCCTTAACTTTTCTTAATAATTACAATTCTTCACTTTTATTATTTCCTCCTTTAATTTTTTTTTCATATAAATTATCACTTTAAAATCATCTCTACAACAAAAGTTAGTGTGTTTTTTTTACGACAAATAAATTAAATATGAATTTGTTAAACACAGATTTTTCATGAAACCGAAATAAAATATATCTTAACTTATGAATGAATTTTTTACGCTAATATTTTTTATGGATTAACTTCATAACACATAGAAAAGATTTAAAAAATTCAAACTATTTCTCAATTAATTTTAATTTAATATGAGAAAGCAAAAAAGTTTTTTTTGAAAAAATGTTTTGATCTACTAAAGTTAAATGTTTTATATTTAGGGGATTACTATATAATTAATAAAGAAATGTTCACTTTCGTGAAATTTTTTTTAATATAAGTTGATGTGTTTAATGCTTCATAATTTTCCATCAGAACGTGATGGTAAAATTACTAAAAAAAATTATAACAAGTATTCTTTAGATTGATTCTGATGTTTTTTATTTTAAATTGCAATGGAGGTTAAACTATTAATTAATTCTAATATTTCTTATAAGCAATAAAGAGGTGTTATCTATTAACATGATGATAAACCAAGTTAACAACAGAATATGAATTTAGGGTTTTTAAGTGTATCAGCAACATAAGAACATTTTTATAGTGTTCAATTTGGGAATTAAGATGATTAAGGCGACACCTTTTTGAATTAAATTATTCCATTATGCTCATTTAATGATTTTTATTTCATATTATATATTTGTCTTTCTTCTAAAATTGTTATACATTGAATAAACAGATCAAATAACAACATAGATTTGTGAAAGAGGGCTCTTAGATAACACAAATGTTTAGATTTGTGTATCATACAAAAATATTAATTTTGATAGTTTAAAATTTAAGATTAGATTCATAAACGACAAATTTGAATGTGTCCTCAAGAAAATAAATTTAGAATTTATATATTCATGTACAGTAAATATTAAAATATTAAAGAATATTTTAATATTTACAAAACTAAAAATATTTCATAATTAAAATAATTAGTAAAATTATTGTGAGAGTAAAGGGTGACTATTTAAAATTTTTCCAAATGACACTCAATTAAAAAATTAATTCTATCCCTAATTTTTGTAAAATAAATCACTGTAATAATTATTTTGAAGTATAAGGAAAATATAACATTAACTAAGAAGAGAACATTAATCATAATTTGATAAAGAAGTGAATAAATATAAAAATAAATGCTTCATTACATCTATTATAATTTATTTAAAAATTATATTAATATTAAACTCACATTTTTATGTGTTGAGTTATTTGTTGTATAACTTATTAAACTATTAACTAATAAAGAAATTAAAATAAAATTTAAGATAGACAAACCAAATATCAGCTCGTTGTTTTTATTTTAATATGTTTTTTTTTATGAATATATGAATGCAACTTCCATTTTTCTTAAAAATTTACTTGTAGGTTGTTATTATGATATCTATTCCATTGAATCTTAATATATTAATTAATGATAAATAAAATGTGTGTGTAATGTTACACAGGTTTACCTATTTGTGTACTATAAAAGTCACTTTTGTGAAAATCAGGTGAATTAAAATTTATAGTTCTTTGATTAAAAAAATATATTATTGTGAAATTATATAAAGGTAAACTATAAAATGTCCTTTTAAGAATTGTAAACCAATCACATATACTTGACATTATAAACTATATTGTTAACTAATTATAATTCATTTACATCAGTATTGGTCAACTATCATATTTCTTAAAAATAAAAAATCTAGAAACAAAAAAATCATATATGAAATGTTAGAACTCCCTCTGCTGTGTTTGAATAGAAAAATTAAAAATACTTTGCATAAGTTTTGACATCAACAATGCGTGAGTATTCATCAATCATGCAATTTTTATTTGTTCTTGTAATACATGAACTCAACAATGCAATTTTTATTTTTGATTTGTGGTTTTTTTTTCCTTATGCTCGTTGGTGAATTTGTAGTGTATATTTAATACATTTTTAGTTATATTTTGTTCCTGTGTTTGTTTGCTTCTCACTATTAACATATTTATTTGTCATTAAAAATAATAATAATAATAATAAGTGATAAATTCAAATATTTAATCGGTTTTAATTAAAGAGAAAGTTTTCTTTTCCAATACTTTAAGCAAACAATCTTGTATTGGTATATTTGTGAAGGGCGCCATGGGAGAAAAAGGATGTAATATATTACCCACAACAACTTCTTGATCACCCGTTTTCCAGATTGATTATATGTTTACTAAATGTGACACCATTACCTCAAATATGTCAGCAGGATTTACATGGTTCAATTCCCACCTCCTTCAATTTCGCATTTAATTGTCACAAAATGGGATCTTCTTTGTATATCATAACGATTCTTTTAGTCAATTAAGGTGTAATGTTCCATCCTTAACTTTTCTTAATAATTACAATTCTTCACTTTTATTATTTCCTCCTTTAATTTTTTTTTCATATAAATTATCACTTTAAAATCATCTCTACAACAAAAGTTAGTGTGTTTTTTTTACGACAAATAAATTAAATATGAATTTGTTAAACACAGATTTTTCATGAAACCGAAATAAAATATATCTTAACTTATGAATGAATTTTTTACGCTAATATTTTTTATGGATTAACTTCATAACACATAGAAAAGATTTAAAAAATTCAAACTATTTCTCAATTAATTTTAATTTAATATGAGAAAGCAAAAAAGTTTTTTTTGAAAAAATGTTTTGATCTACTAAAGTTAAATGTTTTATATTTAGGGGATTACTATATAATTAATAAAGAAATGTTCACTTTCGTGAAATTTTTTTTAATATAAGTTGATGTGTTTAATGCTTCATAATTTTCCATCAGAACGTGATGGTAAAATTACTAAAAAAAATTATAACAAGTATTCTTTAGATTGATTCTGATGTTTTTTATTTTAAATTGCAATGGAGGTTAAACTATTAATTAATTCTAATATTTCTTATAAGCAATAGAGAGGTGTTATCTATTAACATGATGATAAACCAAGTTAACAACAGAATATGAATTTAGGGTTTTTAAGTGTATCAGCAACATAAGAACATTTTTATAGTGTTCAATTTGGGAATTAAGATGATTAAGGCGACACCTTTTTGAATTAAATTATTCCATTATGCTCATTTAATGATTTTTATTTCATATTATATATTTGTCTTTCTTCTAAAATTGTTATACATTGAATAAACAGATCAAATAACAACATAGATTTGTGAAAGAGGGCTCTTAGATAACACAAATGTTTAGATTTGTGTATCATACAAAAATATTAATTTTGATAGTTTAAAATTTAAGATTAGATTCATAAACGACAAATTTGAATGTGTCCTCAAGAAAATAAATTTAGAATTTATATATTCATGTACAGTAAATATTAAAATATTAAAGAATATTTTAATATTTACAAAACTAAAAATATTTCATAATTAAAATAATTAGTAAAATTATTGTGGAGAGTAAAGGGTGACTATTTAAAATTTTTCCAAATGACACTCAATTAAAAAATTAATTCTATCCCTAATTTTTGTAAAATAAATCACTGTAATAATTATTTTGAAGTATAAGGAAAATATAACATTAACTAAGAAGAGAACATTAATCATAATTTGATAAAGAAGTGAATAAATATAAAAATAAATGCTTCATTACATCTATTATAATTTATTTAAAAATTATATTAATATTAAACTCACAATTTTATGTGTTGAGTTATTTGTTGTATAACTTATTAAACTATTAACTAATAAAGAAATTAAAATAAAATTTAAGATAGACAAACCAAATATCAGCTCGTTGTTTTTATTTTAATATGTTTTTTTTTATGAATATATGAATGCAACTTCCATTTTTCTTAAAAATTTACTTGTAGGTTGTTATTATGATATCACTACGCCAAAAATGATTTTTTGTATCACCTAATTTAATAGCACTTTTAAAAAAAATGCTATTAAAATGGAAAAAACACATTTATAATAGCACTTTTTAATCGGGCGCTATTATATAATACAGACTATGTAATTTTGATAGCACTTTGTACCAGAACGCTATTATTAAACTTCTTTAAGATAGCATTTTGTATAAAACGCTATTATTTGACTACCTATATAATAGCATTTATTAAAAAGCGCTATGTTATATATAATAATGAATTAATTAATTAATTAATAAAAAAAATAAACAAAACACAATTAATCGATTCTTCTTTTCAATCCAAGCAGTACGGCGTCGCCGAACTCAAAACCCTAGGTAACAAACTACTCTCATCAGCCTCTAACATCAACAACCTCCCCCTTCTTCTCACCTTCGTCTCACCTTCTTCTCCACCTCAACACGGCCTCGAATCGCTTCTCTCTCTTCATTCTTTCTTCCTCCCTCTCCTCCCTCAACTACCTTCCTCCTCTGCCACTGCCAACACCTCCTCCTCCGACAACGCCGATGCCGACCAGTCTGAGTTCATTTACCTCACTTGGCTCCGTTCGAAGTTCGATGAGTTTCTTAAATCTCTGATAGATGTTCTTGTATCGGATCAATCTGATGAAACTCTGAAGGAAGTTGTGTTGGATACGTTGATGGAGTTTGTGAAGGTTGCTAATGGCGGCACCTTTCATTCTTCGTTGTATAACAGAATTATCAGTAGTATTGTAAGTTTCTCATTCTAATCGTAATTCTACTTTGTTATTTTTGTGCTCATAGTTTGATATATGATATTTTTGTTTTGTTTTGCTTCATCAGATTCACTCTGCTAGTTCTGCTGAATTTTTGATTGATTTACTAACATCAAAGTATTTCAAGTATATTGATGTCAGGTATGATTAATGAAGGGTTTTTCTTTGCAAGTTAAATTGATTCGTTTACTCTGTTTTATGAGTTTTTAACTATTGTTTTATTCTTGATTGCTGAACTATTTTGTCACTCGGTGTAGTTATTTTACATTCATAAGTCTAGAAAAGCTAGCTAGAAATTTGCAGGGGAAAGATGTTTCAGGTGATTTTCTAACTTAGCTTTTAATGTTCCAATTTTTGATTTGCAAAATTGCAGATAGGAGATTTATGTGTTCTGTTTCAATTTCTCTAAATATTTGGGTATTCTGATTGGGTAACTCCTTTTCTTATCTTTGTTATTAGATGATAAAACTGCAAGTGTAGATGGCAATGATGAAAGTCAATTGAGCTCAAAGTTAGGAAAATCTATAGACACTGGAAATCTCAAACGACACTCAAACAGAAGGAGGAAACACCGAAAAGAAAGAACAACCAAATCTCATTCTCCGTCGAACTTAACCCTTTGTCATCTCACCTACGTCGTCGTCATCCCTCTCTTCATTTGTATCCGGTAATATTTCTTTTTTGTGCTATAGTTAGAGACGAAGGGAGGTATATGCGGGCTGCATACATTTGCTCTACTTGTCATTCATAACTTTTTACAGTTGTGGCTGCAGCAAGGGTTCTCTGACTGGACTTGCTCCACTTGAAGCAATGCTCTTTGATATTGATGGAACTCTGTGTGATTCTGACCCACTTCATTATCTTGCTTTCCGTGAGATGCTCCAACATGTAGTGCTTCTTTACTTCTTAATGAAGTTTAAGCCAAAGTATCAGAAGTATAGATAATTAAAGTTTTTATCATCACTATATTCCCTTTATTGTATTTATTTATAAATCGGCAAATGACCAATATCTGGTTGCATTAACAAATATTGGTGGTTGTCAGATTGGTTTCAATGGAGGCAATCCTATAACAGAGGAATTTTTTATTGACACTGTTGCTGGCAAGCATAATAATGACATTGCCTTGGCTCTCTTTCCTGGTGAGCTGGAGAGAGGCTTAAAGTTTTTAGATGATAAGGAAGCCATGTTTCGGAGGTAAGCCATGCTCTCCTCCCGCGAACTATCCCCTTTAATTTGAAGATTCTTAACGTGATTCATGACTATCTAGATTAGCAGTTGAGCAACTGAAGGCTTTAAATGGCCTTGATAAAGTGAGAAAATGGATTCATGATCGTGGGTTGAAATGAGCTGCAGTTACCAATGCTCCAAGACCAAATGCAGAACTCGCTCTCTCAAAACTTGGTCTCTCAGATTTCTTTCAAGCTGTTATTATTGGTGATGAATGTGAACATCCCAAACCTCATCCAGAGCCATACTTGAAAGGCCTTGAAGCTCTAAAAGCATCTAAAGATCACACGTTTGTATTTGAGGTCTGTTTGTTTCTTTTCTCTGCATTGCTATAGATCTGTTCTTATTATGCTTCTGACAGATCCATGTTGTTGTCGTAGGATTTTGTTTCAGGAATCAAAGCTGGTGTGGCTGCTGGGATGCCTGTTATCGGTTTATCTACCCGAAACCCAGAGCATTTGTTGATGGGAGCAAAACCCACCTTTCTGATTATAGATTATGATGATCCAAAATTGTGGGCAGCTCTCGAAGAACTTGACAAGTCTGGTTCTCATTAAAGTTTTGACTTAACACTAGTGCGATTCACATAATTTCTTGATTAAAACAAGTAGCATTTTTCATATTAAATTCACCAGATCACCTCACCTGTTTAATTTAGTTACAGGGGGTAATACTATTCTACTACTCTACTACTCCATAATCAGAATTGCTTTGGAGTCAAAGCAAACAAGTAATTTTTTTACTTGTAATTTGCAATAATGTGATAGCTGGCTAGGAAACTTAATGCCAAGGAAATTCCAATGATGGTAGTGCTTTGGACTGTAATATCTTATGTTGTGCCAGGCAAAGTTCCACCTACTGTTCCTAGAAGGTTGTTTTGTCCACTTCCTTGGGATCCTGCATCTTTCTACCATTGGACAGTAATGAAGGTATTGATTCTCATCTTGTAATAGTCTTCATTTTCGTGTTATGCAAAAGTCGTAAAATCCATCTAAAGCTACTACTGAATGCAAACGGCAGGATATGGTAAATGTACCATTGCTGTATATCTACGGAGCATTTATTCCGGCAATGATGATAGCAGGTTTATACTTTTTTGATCATAGTGTAGCTTCCAAGATGGCTCAACAGAAGGAGTTCAACCTTCAAAAACCATCTGCATACCACTATGATGTTTTTCTCCTTGGAATAATGGTGTGTTATAGTGTTGTGTGAGTCTTGTTTTATGTAAATTCCATATCTTAAAGTTTTCTGACATGCTTACTCTTATGATCCTTTAGACTTTGATTTGCGGTCTTCTCGGTCTTCCTCCATCAAATGGAGTCCTTCCTCAGTCTCCTATGCATACAAAGAGTTTAGCAATTCTTCGGAGGCAGGTCAGTATCATATTTTGCAATAAGGCTGTAACATCACAAATGTTTACCCAATAGTTAAGTTCAAATAAGTCAATCCAGACAGTCCTGAAGTCTAAAATATCAACTAAAATACTTTGTCAAATTCACAGATGATTCGAAAGAAGGTGGTGAAAGGTGCCAAGGAATGCATTAGGCACCAAGGGACGAACGCTGAATTATACGGAACGATGCGCTCCGTTTTCATAGAAATGGATGCAGTGCCCACGGTAAGTATTGTTGGCTTGACAAAAAGTTGTATCTATGTGTATACATATCAAAGAAAGATCATATTTCTTTTTATCATTTGGTGTAGGCTAGAGAGTTGGAGAATTTGAAGGATGCTGTAATGAATACTAATCCTGGTACAAAGGAAAAGTTTGATCCTGTAAAACATATAGATGCGTATTTGCCTGTTTGAGTTAACGAGCAAAGATTGAGCAACTTATTGCAATCTGTCTTTGTTTCCTTATTACTATTAGCTACATCTCTTATCAAAAGGATACCTACCTCAGTTCTTTGGGGATATTTTGCTTACATGGCAATTGATAGTCTTCAAGGGAATTAATTTTTTGAGAGAATTTTGCTTCTTTTCATCACCCCGAAAAGGCAGTACAAGTAAGTATCCTTAAATATTAATCCATAAAACTGTTTTCAGATTATTTTCATAACCTCTGCATGAACTTATAACTTATATGTGCAGAGTTTTGGAAGGCACTCATTCGTCGTTTGTGGAGTCAGTACCGTTCAAGACAATAGCTGGATTTATAGCTTTACAGCTTCTATACTTTTTTCTGTGCTATGGTTTAACATGGATACCTATTGGTGGAATATTGTTTACAGTACCTTTCTTCCTTCTCATAATGCTAAGAGAGAAACTGCTTCCAAGATTATTCAAGGCAAGCCATCTTCAGGAGTTAGATGCTTTTGTTAAACATCGTCCGGCCAAATATTCTTTTTGTATAAAACAAGATGATTGGGATAAATTTGTAGCCCCACATATGACTGCAAAGTTTCAGGTAATACTTTTATCACTTGGATATGGATCCTTAAAGTTTTGCATGATTATAGTATTAGTGATAGTGTTGTGGGATGCATTTTTTATAATAAATGCAGAAAGTTAGTGATGAGAATCGAGAAAGTAGCTGAGAGTCGACTACCTAGTGATAAAGGTTCTTGCAACCCTGGATCATTTGGCAACATTCCCGAGGTAATTGGTTCTTGCAACCCTGGATCATTTGGCAACATTCTATGAGTTCAACGCTTTTGGATCATGAAGGTGGTTACTACATGTGATTGTTTTGTTATCCTTTCTTATTTTTTTGGTGTTTTGTTTAGAGAATTTGATTGTATGTTTTTGGATTTGGATTGAAGTACTCATAGATGGGCATCTACAAATTTGGCTCTGCAAACGCCCTCTTAATATTCTATATGTTATGATATTTGGAAACAATAGGATTTGGTAATTTAAAATGTTATTTGGTATTTGATGGATCATAATATATATGCAATGAGTAACTTAAAGCGTTATTTGTGTTGAATTGAATATAGTTATTTTATATTTACACCAAAAAAAATGATTGTGTAAGAAAAAATATTGTACTGTACTTATTAAAAATATTGTACCAAATATGTACCATTTATTAGCACTTTATTTGAAAGCGCTATCAAACATATGTTATATATTAGCGCTTTTTGTTTAGAGTTCTATAAAAAAACAAACAAAAAACATGCAAAATACTGACTTTGATAGCACTTTAATTAAAACGCTATTATAAATGGGTACTTTAATAGCGCTTTTAAAGTGCTATTAAATAAGAAATATTTACAATAGTGGCGCGGTTAATAGCACTTTTAAGCGCTATCAAAAACAAAACAAAAAGCGCTATTAAATAGCTTATTTGGCGTAGTGTATCTATTCCATTGAATCTTAATATATTAATTAATGATAAATAAAATGTGTGTGTAATGTTACACAGGTTTAACTATTTATGTACTATAAAAGTCACTTTTGTGAAAATCAGGTGAATTAAAATTTATATTTCTTTGATTAAATAAAATATATTATTGTGAAATTATATAAAGGTAAACTATCAAATGTCCTTTTAAGAATTGTAAACCAATCACATATACTTGACATTATAAACTATATTGTTAACTAATTATAATTCATTTACATCAGTATTGGTCAACTATCATATTTCTTAAAAATAAAAAATCTAGAGAGAAAAAAATCATATATGAAATGTTAGAACTCCCTCTTCTGTGTTTGAATAGAAAAATTAAAAATACTTTGCATAAGTTTTGACATCAACAATGCGTGAGTTTTCATCAATCATGCAATTTTTATTTGTTCTTGTAATACATGAACTCAACAATGCAATTTTTATTTTTGATTTGTTGTTTTTTTTCCTTATGCTCGTTGGTGAATTTGTAGTGTATATTTAATACCTTTTTAGTTATATTTTGTTCATGTATTTGTTTGCTTCTCACTATTAACATATTTATTTGTCATTAAAAATAATAATAATAATAATAAGTGATAAATTCAAATATTTAATCGGTTTTAATTAAAGAGAAAGTTTTCTTTTCCAATATTTTAAGCAAACAATCATGTATTGGTATATTCGTGAAGGGCGCCATGGGAGAAAAAGGATGTAATATATTACCCACAACAACTTCTTGATCACCCGTTTTCCAGATTGATTATATGTTTACTAAATGTGAAACCATTACCTCAAATATGTCAGCAGGATTTACATTGTTCAATTACCACCTCCTTCAATTTCCCATTTAATTGTCACAAAATGGGATCTTCTTTGTATATCATAACGATTCTTTTAGTAAATTAAGGTGTAATGTTCCATCCTTCACTTTTATTAATAACTACAATTCTTCACTTTTATTATTTCCTCCTTTTATATTTTTTTTCATGTAAATTATCACTTTAAAATCATCTCTACAACAAAAGTTAGTGTTTTTCTTTACGTCAAATAAATTAAATATGAGTTTGCTAAACATAGATTTTTCATGAAACCGAAATAAAATATATGTTAACTTATGAATGAACTTTTTAGGCTAATAGTTTTTATGGATTAACTTCATAACACATAGAAAAGATTTAAAAAATTCAAAGTATTTCTCAATTAATTTTAATTTAATATGAGAAAGCAAAAAAGTTTTTTTTGAAAAAAAGTTTTGATCTACTATAGTTAAATGTTTTATATTTAGGGGATTACTATATAATTAATAAAGAAATGTTCACTTTCATGAAATTTTTTTTAATATAAGTTGATGTATTTAATGCTTCATAATTTTCCATCAGAACGTGATGGTAAAATTACTCAAAAAAATTATAACAAGTATTCTTTAGATTGATTCTGATGTTTTTTATTTTAAATTGCAATGGAGGTTAAACTATTAATTAATTCTAATATTTCTTATAAGCAATAGATAGGTGTTATCTATTAACATGATGATAAACCAAGTTAAAAACAGAATATGAATTTAGGGTTTTTAAGTTTATCAGCAACATAAGAACATTTTTATAATGTTCAATTTGGGAATTAAGATGATTAAGGCGACACCTTTTTGAATTAAATTATTTCATTATGCTCATTTAATGATTTTTATTTCATATTATATATTTGTCTTTCTTCTAAAATTGCTATACATTGAATAAACAGATCAAATAACAACATAGATTTGTGAAAGAGGGCTCTTAGATAACACAAATGTTTAGATTTGTGTATCATACAAAAATATTAATTTTGATAGTTTAAAATTTAAGATTAGATTCATAAACGACAAATTTGAATGTGTCCTCAAGAAAATAAATTTAGAATTTATATATTCATGTACAGTAAATATTAAAATATTAAAAAATATTTTAATATTTACAAAAATAAAAATATTTCATAATTAGAATAATTAGTAAAATTATTGTGAGAGTAAAGGGTGACTATTTAAAATTTTTCCAAATGACACTCAATTAAAAAATTATTTCTATCCCTAATTTTTGTAAAATAAATTACTGTATTAATTATTTTTAAGTATAAGGAAAATATAACATTAACTAAGAAGACAACATTAATCATAATTTGATAAAGAAGTGAATAAATATAAAAATAAATGCTTCATTACATCTATTATAATTTATTTAAAAATTATATTAATAATAATCTCACAATTTTATGTATTGAGTTATTTGTTGTATAACTTATTAAACTGTTAACTAATAAAGAAATTAAAATAAAATTTAAGATAGACAAACCAAATATCAGCTCGTTGTTTTTATTTTAATATGTTTTTTTTTTATGAATATATGAATGCAACTTCCATTTTTCTTAAAAATTTACTTGTAGGTTGTTATTATGATATCTATTCCATTGAATCTTAATATATTAATTAATGATAAATAAAATGTGTGTGTAATGTTACACAGGTTTAACTATTTATGTACTATAAAAGTCACTTTTGTGAAAATCAGGTGAATTAAAATTTATATTTCTTTGATTAAATAAAATATATTATTGTGAAATTATATAAAGGTAAACTATAAAATGTCCTTTTAAGAATTGTAAACCAATCACATATACTTGACATTATAAACTATATTGTTAACTAATTATAATTCATTTACATCAGTATTGGTCAACTATCATATTTCTTAAAAATAAAAAATCTAGAGAGAAAAAAATCATATATGAAATGTTAGAACTCCCTCTTCTGTGTTTGAATAGAAAAATTAAAAATACTTTGCATAAGTTTTGACATCAACAATGCGTGAGTTTTCATCAATCATGCAATTTTTATTTGTTCTTGTAATACTTGAACTCAACAATGCAATTTTTATTTTTGATTTGTGGTTTTTTTTCCTCATGCTCGTTGGTGAATTCGTAGTGTATATTTAATACCTTTTTAGTTATACTTTGTTCTTGTATTTGTTTGCTTCTCACTATTAACTTATTTATTTGTCATTAAAAATAATAATAATAATAATAAGTGATAAATTGAAATATTTAATCGGTTTTAATTAAAGAGAAAGTTTTCTTTTCCAATATTTTAAGCAAACAATCTTGTATTGGTATATTTTTGAAGGGCGCCATGGGAGAAAAAGGATGTAATATATTACCCACAACAACTTCTTGATCACCCGTTTTCCAGATTGATTATATGTTTACTAAATGTGACACCATTACCTCAAATATGTCAGCAGGATTTACATTGTTCAATTACCACCTCCTTCAATTTCCCATTTAATTGTCACAAAATGGGATCTTCTTTGTATATCATAACGATTCTTTTAGTAAATTAAGGTGTAATGTTCCATCCTTCACTTTTATTAATAACTACAATTCTTCACTTTTATTATTTCCTCCTTTTATATTTTTTTTCATGTAAATTATCACTTTAAAATCATCTCTACCACAAAAGTTAGTGTTTTTTTTTACGTCAAATAAATTAAATATGAGTTTGCTAAACATAGATTTTTCATGAAACCGTAATAAAATATATCTTAACTTATGAATGAATTTTTTAGGATAATATTTTTTATGGATTAACTTCATAACACATAGAAAAGATTTAAAAAATTCAAAGTATTTCTCAATTAATTTTAATTTAATATGAGAAAGCAAAAAAGTTATTTTTGAAAAAAAGTTTTGATCTACTAAAGTTAAATGTTTTATATTTAGGGGATTACTATGTAATTAATAAAGAAATTTTCACTTTCATGTAATTTTTTTTAATATAAGTGGACGTATTTAATGCTTCATAATTTTCCATCAGAACGTGATGGTAAAATTACTCAAAAAAATTATAACAAGTATTCTTTAGATTGATTCTGATGTTTTTTATTTTAAATTGCAATGGAGGTTAAACTATTAATTAATTCTAATATTTCTTATAAGCAATAGATAGGTGTTATCTATTAACATGATTAAAAAACAAGTTAACAACTGAATATGAATTTAGGGTTTTTAAGTGTATTAGCAACATAAGTACATTTTTATAGTGTTCAATTTGGGAATTAAGATGATTAAGGCGACACCTTTTTGAATTAAATTATTCCATTATGCTCATTTAATGATTTTTATTTCATATTATATATTTGTCTTTCTTCTAAAATTGATATACATTGAATAAATAGATCAAATAACAACATAGATTTGTGAAAGAGGGCTCTTAGATAACACAAATGTTTAGATTTGTGTATCATACAAAATATTAATTTTGATAGTTTAAAATTTAAGA